TGGGGGTGCTGATTCTCGCCCCAGCCGCTTCACACTCGGCTGCAAACCGCCCCAGTGCATGCTGGAGGTCCTGGTTTGATGGGGCCAACAGGACGACGACGTCTGCAAAAAGCAGAGACAAGATCCTGAGGCCCCCACTGCGGACTCCCTCCGGCCCCTGGCTGCGGGGAAAACAGCTGCCCGAGTCAATGCGTACGTTTACATTTTAATCATACAGTGTTCGGTGTAAGTAATTACTAAATAACGTTAGTAATATTATTTGTCACTTGTAAAGTAAGGAATGGTTCTTAATTCTTCAATAATTTAATGAGTAACTTCAGTAATTGCATAAAATACCGATTTTTGTACGAATTAAAAGTGCAGTTTTATGTCTACCCTTTCTTAAAATTCCTATTGTGGTTGATATGGGATTTGTAAAGTAATGATTAATAAATAATCCAGTACGTTTTATGGAGAGTAAGTATTACATTAATCAAAATACTTTTTTAAAATTGACCCAACACTGATGTAATAATATAAGAATTGAATTTTAATTTTCATGTAGCTGGCATAGACTTTCCCGGGGAGGCTGAGGAGGCCCCTATAGGGGGATCACACTCCTCAGCTGTTATACCCTCCCCCTTTCATTTTCCTTTGTGGTTAATGCCATGCCGCTCTTTTTGTTTTTATTTTCAATTGATCATTCAGTGGCCAGCAGTCGATCAGTAAGTCTCAGCTAGTGTCTTTTGTTTGTGTGTGTGTGTGTGTGCGTGTGTGTGTGTGTGTGTGTGTGTATCCCTTTAGATGACTGTTTGACTGGATCTTTCCTTACCCTTAAGTCTGCATTGTCTGGAATTTGTAGTCCATGTACTGTGTGTATCTGTATTTCCATTTATGTGGTGAGATACACAGTCTTTGACACGCAGTGTCAGTGCTTGTTCAAGCCAACCAACGTTTTCCAGTCTAGTAGTGTGATGATGGAGTAGCATCCAGTTTCTCCCCACCACTTGTTTTTTTATATTGTGGTATTTTAATTCCCTCTCTTTAGCATTTATGGATAGTATGTACAAAACTAATAAATGAGTTAAAACACAATTTGATGCAGTTTGTTAATAATTAAAACTCTTCCTGAGGACAGTGAGAATTGGAGGCTGGGATAATGGCATAAAGTTGTAATATAAAATATTTAACAGAATAAATTTGAATTGCTGCCAAATCCTTCTTTCTTTTCTATAGCTGCTTATAACTACATTGTAATGTTATAAATGTTATATCCTGCTAAATAGGGGGACTAAACATGAAGTTTTACCTAAAATGGTGATGTTATGTAATCCTGATGTAACATGGTGATTTTCATCTTCACACCTGTCTTCATCTTCATCAAACTTTTTCTTACCCTCCCACTGCTGTCTTTGCTTTGTTTCTCCTCCTGTCTTCTCAGATAATCCGTGGGGAGTCTCTTGACTCTCCATCTCCCTCCATCCGCCAGTCCAGCCGCCAGTCCAGCTACCGCTCGGAGCCGAGCAGCCTGGACGGGGCCACAGTGGTGGGGGGAGGTGTAGGGGGGCGCAGAGGGGGAGTAGAGAGGGGTGAGGGCCTTGGAGGCCCTGGTGGGCCTGCTGGGGGGGTGTCAAGGGGCATGTCAGGTTACTCCCTGACTGGGCGCTCCTACACCTCCTACCCATCCCCTCTGGCGGCTCACACTCCTCCAGCATGCGCTCAGCACACACAGCACATAATCCGCTGGCCACGCTTCATTCAGAAGGCACCACAGACACTAGCTATAAAAGCCTGGCCAATCAGACACCTCGGAATGGCAGCCTGTCCTATGACAGCCTTCTGACACCATCCGAGAGCCCAGAGTTCGAGTCAGCTGCCCACGAGCTATCGCCGCAGAAGTCTCATGCTCCTTTCCCCTCGGCAACTATAACAGGCCAGCCTGAGGTGGTGTCACCCAGTACCCCGCTGCAGGGCTATACGTCGCCCTTCCTCTCAGCTCAGATCGCCCAGCAGAGGGAGGGGCAGCTGCTCCAGGGCTCTGCCACTTTCTCCTCCCCCCACAGGGCCTACCTGCATGCTGTCAGCCCACCCCCTCCCTCCTCCTGTGGGCCGCTTGAGACACACCTGCTCCAGCATAACCAGGACTCCTCTTCCAGAGCCCCCCGTAACCCTTTCACGTCACACTCTTCCCCTGGGGCTCGCTCACTAGAACCCCCTGTCTCTCCGCCACCTCGTGGCCTCTCCCTGGGCAAATCCCATTTGTACACTGGGGAGGCAGGACCTCAGCACAAGCCTCGGCCCACAGGAGGAGGCAGTGTGCTGGGAGGGGGAGGAGCCGGAGGAGGGCAACAGGCTCCACAGTGAGTAAAGATCCCTCACCTGATGTGTCAGCCTGCTACTCTTCCTCCTCTTTCTCCTTTACCTCCTAATCCTCCTCTTCTTCCTCCCTGGTTTGTGTCAGCCCTCCTCTTCCTCCCTGATCTGTGTGAGTTTTTTTTCCTCCTCTACAGTTTAGTCACTTTTTGCTTATTAGTGATTCAGGTGTTGGCATGTGTTGATTAGTGTTAAAAGCATGTCAGTGTGTGTTTAGTCTGTGAAAGCATGCCATGCTGCTGTTTACTTCTGTCCTGTAGGCTTTTCTGTCCTTCAGTATAGTTAACAAATACCTTACAAGATCATTGATAGAGAAATATTTTGCTGCTTGTGCTCATTTGTTGTTCTTTTTGAAATAGAACTCACTCCCTTTCTCCTCTGTCCTCCCCTTCCCAATGGCTATCCAATCAGATCCACCTCTCGCCCAGTCTTGGCCAATCACACCACATCTAAACCAGGGGGCGGGGTGAAAAAGGTGACAGGCGTCGGAGGGACCACTTACGAGATATCGGTTTGAGTGACAGACATCCTTCATTGGTCTATCACCAGGAGGGGAGAAAGGTTATTGGACTACTTCCAGTTGTCTCTCACCTGAGCTGGATATTATTCATGATGCTGCATCAGACTAAAGGCCTGTCTGGTACTCACTTTCTCTTTATAACACCACTGGCCATTCTTCTCTGACAGCCTTACAGATGTGAACGAAGAGGAGCTCGGGACACTGGTTTGTTTTTCACAGGATGAATTTGTCTCCATTTAGCCACTTTTTGAGCCATAGACTGAATCATCATGGCTGGGTACAGATGCCTACATAGCTATTAAACGAGTTTCTGTTTTACTTTGATACATTTGCACAGTACAGAGTATTGACAACTGTGTCCGACGCCTAAGGAAAGAATGGCCTTTATCCAGTGGATGAAAGAGAGGGAAGATTTAGGAGCATTGACCAATAGAAATGTCTTCTTTTCCACTTTCTGAATGGACCACACAGCTCGTCATGGAGAAAAGAGTCCAATCTATAAACACAGTATCATTTTAGTTTTATAAGTATTTTTTAAATATTGTTTTATATAAATATGTAAAATCTTACAGATTATTATTGGGTCAAATTGTCAGGTATTGCAGATGACTATTGATGGCTGATGAACTATGTGTAATTATTCATGAAAGTGATTTCCAAACGGTTGCCTGTTTATATTTGATGGCTGCATCAGCCACTGGTGAGCTCTTGCTGGAGTTTTCATCATCCAAAGATTATGATGATCCTGTGGTGGACAACTGAAGCGGTAAACAATTTAGCTTAAGTTTTGAACGCCACAAAGAAATTCTGAATCACAATCGCAGCACAAGCATCTTTATGGAATGTACGCTTGTAATGTGTATGCTAGAGACATTATGCAAAATCTGTTTGTAGCTTTAAGACCATCGTTTGACTTTTTGGTGATTTTCTTCTTCCTTTCTGAAATGTTTTGTCTGTCACAATGCTAGCAGAACCTTATACCTTTAACGGATGGCCAGCCAAATAGGGGCAGCAAGGGAAGGGCTTATTTATTTCAGCAGACATGACAGCCGTGTAGCTCCGGACACAGTTTCAAACCAGTCTTTTGTTGTTGTTTTTTTTGTTTTGAGAAAAGAAGAGGAAGTATGAATATTTTTTTATGGAAAAAGTTTATAAATGAAATTGTAAATGCAATACGACACTGAATAGAGTAGGTAGGGACTGGTTTGTAATTGGAAACTTTTTTTGTTTTTTGCTTTGAGACCATTCATAGTAAAGCAGACCTTTTTTTTTTTATACCTATTTTAACTTTACATTTCACTTTTCTGAGAAAACCAAAATGAGGCTTTTTCTTTTGGATTCACTTTTTTAATATATAATCAAGGCCCACAGTGTTTGCAGTTCAGTGTCAAAGCTGGCTGAATGTGGCACATCTTTGAGGGAAAATTACATGCTTGAAGTACACAAGTGTCAGCATTAAACCCATACACCTGTGTTACAACTTTTCAGCTCTCCCAGGCTACGGCTTCGGTGTGCATGCGATTTTTGTTTCTTGTGTTAAATGCTTCTCTGATGTGCATACGCCTGACAATATTGACAAATGCCCACCTGGTTAATGCGTGTGGGTGGTAACAAGAAAAGAAGCATCAGTGGCACAAGCACTCGGTGATAAAGAGAACCTGGGTTACCTTTCTTCCTGCTCTGGCCAAGGATGGTGGCCAGTGAACAATCTTGAAACTATGTGAGTATAATACGAATACTTCTGTGTGAGATAAAATACTGCTATTGTGGCCTGTGATGAATGGAACGAGTTTCACGAATATCTCTAACACGTACGTTAAAGACATGTCCAAAATGGCCTTACAAAGAATTTTTAAAAAGAAGTCTTCTCAGAATAAAAAGGTCAAATGATGAAAAACTAAATGGGTCATGAATCTTATCTGTGTACATGTTCAGCTGCAAAAAAAAAAAAAACAGACAGCAAAAGGTGATATGTAGTGATGAGATGTTGCAAAAAAAAAAAAAAAACTCTACAAAAAAGGCATTTGTCAATTAACTTGTAGCCTGTAATAAAAATATCCCCCAAACCATTACTTGATCAGTTGGATGGCTGCATTTATACCATGCAGCACCACAGCCAGTCAAAACAAAGCTGCATAAGGTAGAGGCGATGTATAGTAGCTGTTGAACCACTTTTCCTCGCAGTAAGGCACTTCATGCACCCCGAGTTGGATCCATTTTAGTAACACAACACAAAGGCAGAAGGCACAATTTGTAAAATAAAACTCATATCGAGCAGGGTCTAGTAATCTTTACAGGCATATTAGAACCGTACATCCAACATAGTGTAACGATTTTATACCAAACAATGTAAAATATGTGTTCTGGAATTTCTACAGCTTAGTATAATCAAATTGAATAATTTACGTGATACAGGTGCACATAGATACCAATCACAGATCAAAACATTGCTAAATTTGGCTGAATTATAAAAGCCAGAAGTAGTACTAAATAAAGAACCGTTTGGGAGCCGACTCTTACTGCTGACCTGAGCCAAATGACCTGGCTGTCTGAAACCAGTCAGGATTCACTATGAATCATTCACTTCACTGGTCTTTCTTGCTCTCTGTTGGCTGCTCTGGGTTGTCAGTGTCAGGATGGAGCTCACTGCTGCCCTCCTCTGGCTGAGAATCGTCCTGCTCCTCCACCTTAACACCGCGACCTTTGTTCAACTTTTTGGATTTCTGGAACAACTCGTTGAGGTTAAACTCTCGAATGATGTTCTCCTAGGGGTGAAATAAACTTATTAGATGGTGACACAAGTAAGCAAGCAACACCTGCTCAGTACTACTCCATATATATATGTTTTACGAACAGAGACACCTCAGTAAAAGTCCAAGATACAGCTCTCCCTTTACTGTCTACCATTGGACGTCTCATAACTTCCCGCCCTCCTTGAAAAAGCAGCAGTGAGGGCAGCTGCTTGGCCAGAGGGGAAGTACTGACCATGTACCTGTTCAGAAAATATTCATGGGGTAATCAATACATGGTCTCAGAGAACAAAATAAAGAATTTGCAGAAATCATAAAGAAACACCACTGAGGCATTAATACTGCTGTTGCATCATTAAAGAAAAGCACACAGTGGCAGAGCAGATACTGACCTCTGTGAAACTTCTCCATAGCGTCCAATGTCCACCTTCCCAAACCTGAGTCCTGCGCAGTTGTACCTGCAGTTGATGTGTGAGACATTCAAGCCTCAAGTCAAAACTGCAATGATGGACAAACACCCAACATGCATACAAGAACAACAAGATGTTGACCATGTTTGGGGGGCTGGGGGTGTTCAGGTTTTAGGTCACTAGACATGTGTTTATTATTAATGACCAATAAAGTTCCGTGATCGCAGCTGACCAAGCTGTATTAAGGCTCAGTATCTTAATGACAGGGATGTATGTTATTCCAAGAACTGAGAGGGCATTTTTTTAAAATTTGTTAAATGAGTCTAAGAGTAAGAATAAGGTGATTTCTCACTTCAGTGAAAGGTTGGCAAAAGTGGGGGCGAAGGACTGGCAGTCAGAGGACCAGTTAGCGTAGAATTCAACAATCCAGGTGACACGACTGTCCCTCTGCAGCTCCTCCTGATGTTTCAGTAACAATGTTAGATTAGAACAAATCTGACTGGTGTAGATAAGTCATTTATACTTATAACCTCTAGGACTTGGGCATCATTCATTAGGGAGGTCATGTATTTTAATATGTCTGACATTCAGTTACTATATTGTAACATTAACTGCTATACTGTTAATCTAACAGGTTAATCCAAATGGGTAGAGTAATACTTACATCTATGGTCTTGTCACTGAAGTACTTGATGTACTCTGGGCCCATGTAGAGAGGTGGCTTACAGGTCATGACTAATGCTGGAGACAAGGCACAGATAAACACACTGATATGATGACATTAAAGAGGTTTCCAGATGATGAAAACAATGGCTAAATGTATATTGTTCCATTTCTGAAGCTATGGAAATCTCAGCTTTGGTTAATACATTCACACCGAAACCCTGACAGCACTGCCTGAACTGGAATCAGAGCTCCTTTAAACTGCAGAAATGATCCGACAGAGACCAGTGCTGGGTCAAAACATCCACAGTAAGTAAAACTGCAGTTTGCAGGTACCTCTTTGATGTATTCACATTCCCAAAATTATCGTATTTTTGAATACCTATCAGAAATGGCAGGTCCATATGGTGTGTAAAGGTTTCCCACAGTGTTTAACTGTCAAAGTGGGCCACCTTGCATAAAATCAAGACCGCCTCTGGTGAATGCACTTTTATGAAATAAAACATTAATATTTAGGGGAAAAGAGCTGATATGCTACTTCACACAGCTAATGTCACATCTTTAATAAGCTGGCCTGTTGTTTAGGCCAAAGGTGTCTGGATCCATGCTTCCTCACCCAGCCTCAGATCTTTGAGGTGGAGGTGATGACCTGGTACCCTGCTACTTATAACGAACACTACTGTAATTGTCCATACATATCCCTGCCCATAACTCGACCTGAATCAGTGTAACAAAGGTTGTTAGGCCACTGACCGACACACACTACAAGGTAAAGGATGCCAAGCCGAACATCCAGCCTGAAGAAGAGGATGACGTTGGCCACTTTACTGAACATGAACAAGTTGCCCATGTGTTGCTCCAGTGTGACTAGGAAAAAGAGAGAAGAAGAAAGGAGGAAAAATAAATGAACTGGAAAAATTATCTTCAGCCTGTTGATACAAGGTCAGAGGAAGGCAGGATTACACAGCAACTCTAATGTTTACACAACAAAGCAAAGGTTTTAGTAAAGCACTTCCTGCATATGGCTGGGTGCAGAGTTTCTCACATCAGACCACAAATACCAATGTGGTTAATGTTTAACAGTTATACATTATAGGACTTGTGTCCTTTTCGTTATTCAATTCATCCTTATTTATCCCACTTAGAAAAATTATTTTAATATAGTATGATGCCAAGCTAAATTACACAACAGTCTGCACTTTAGGTTAAACACAAGGTTTATTTACACTGGTTCCAAAACTGAGCATCACTGGCATGTGTAGGTCAGTTTTGATGACGAGACTGTTTCAAGTGTAAACAACCACTTACTGTGTTATAATGGATAAAACTGGTTTACACATAGACAAATGTGTGGGTACTTGTGTGTGCTTGTCCAGGGACAAGAGTTAGGAGCGTGACCACATTAACCTCCTAACCAACCTACAGCCCCAGGGAAACATTAGCTGTTGGGCCCAGATAGAGCAACACAAAACATAGCAGTCCTTGTTTGTGTGGTCACCCAGACAACAATGCTTACTTCAGAGCTGATATGATGAGTTTACTAATTAGACTGCTTGGTTGACTGACATTAAGTTGATTTATGGCATAAAAACAACATATTTTGTATTTGTAACTGTTGATCTATTGACAAAAAATCTATATGAATATGTTAAGCTGGGTTTCAAGGAATAGTTTTGGGTACTTTTCAGTTTTCTGACATTTTATACACCAAACAATGAACTGATTATCAAAGACAAGATTTATTAATAATGAAATTAACTGTTGGTTGCAGTCTTACAGCTCTCTTGTAATGAGCTACAGTAATACCACCATGTCCAAGGTTTTTTCTGTGGTTATCATTTGGCACAGAAAAAAACCCCCACAGGAATTAAAAAAACACAACTTTCTAACAAAGGAGCTAAAGGTAAAGATTACTGATTAATTAATTAAAGGTCATCTTACTGAATCTAATAACACACACATGATCTTGGTTAGTGATCCAGCCTTGGATGGGGGATGGGGGTTTACTTACTGGCCCTCCTGTTCTTCATCATCACTATCGCGCTGAGAAACATGAGAATCTCCAATTCCCTCTGTAAAACAAACAAGACTAAACGTGAACCAGCTTCGTGAGTGAAGTGGCTGGAGCTCATCTTACAGCAGCTAACACCATTTTTAGCTGCAGCAACACTTTTCCCCACCATGCTCACCCAGTCAAAGTCGCAGGAGTTGCCGTCCTCCCGTTGGGTCGCCAGGTGCTCGCACAGACCGGGAGTCTTTCGGACCAGCAGGAAGGCGACAGTCATGAAGAACGAGGTGACATAATACGGTTTCAGTAGCCATTTGTAAATCTGAGGTAGGTGGTACAAGAAGGCACAAACTCCTGTAATCAGACCCATGTCGGGCCCGGCAGAGACGAGTCAACTGCTTGGGGTCAGAGAAGTGACAGCTGAAGCAACGACTGGGTTACACTGCGCATGCGCTAGGACTAGAGTTATTTATTTAGTAGTCAACGGGTACAAAGAAAAATCCTGATTAAATGAGTGGAAATTTAAAAACTGTGGGGGGTCACTGATTAATCTGCCGATTATTTTATTGATGATCTGATTTATCTTTTTATTCACAGACTGCCAAACACTGAAAATGCCCATAATGACATTCCAAAGTCAAAGGTGGAGTCTTCAAATGACTTGTTTTGGACCAATCAACAAATCCAGTTTATTATCATGAATGACAAAGAAAGCATCCGTTTCACACATTAAAGAAGGTGCAACCAGAAAATATTGGTGAAGCCAGCTCCCTTAAATTAGCTTTTAGTGAAATGACTAAGGTTGCACCTCTGGGTTGCCGAATGGGTTAATGAATATGGAAAGTTGTGTTAAACACAACGAGGGAATATGTTTTGTAAGACTGATGTTTCCTCCCTATATCAGAAGAGGATTTGCACTTTATAGGAGGCACTTTATTAATTTGTCACCCATCTGTATTTGCCAGAGGTATGGCAAATGCATTAGTTTTTAGAAAAACGTTTAACACATGTTTTAAAAAGTCTAAAATTATGTTTTCACTTTCTTTTTGTTTGTTAGTGTTTTCTCCAAATGTATTTATATTTACCAGATGTTTTATATTTTAGGATTAGACTCAGTTCCTCACTCCAGACCAGTTGGCGGCGGTAACGCATCGCGTCATTGTTGGCTAAGCACCGAAAAAACCACAAAAGAAGAAGATTTGGCGGGTACTACAAAATGTAAACAGAGGATGCTGAAAATGGAGGAAAGCAAAGTAGCAACAGAGAAAGCGACTGTAGATGACAAATGTCCCAGAGATTGTGTTGAAAACAGGACCAGTGAAGCATCAGGAGAAACGTCCTCACAGATGTCAAACTCTGCAGCGGTTCATAAGGCGAACGCGGAGACGGAGGCTCGGTTTAATAGGATGAAACTGTTCCATAAAGTGATGCAGAAGAGCCTGGAAAGGTTCATCGATCACGTCAGGTATCGTGTCATTTGTGTTTTAGTGGAAATCTGCCCAAAAAACGACAGTGGAATCTATGTACAGAGGTTGTCATCGCTAATGTATTGCACTCTATAAATGAGTACACCCCCTCTGAACATAATTTTTATAGCTTATATTTCTGAAAGACATCCAATGAAACTGAAAGAATGACAACACCAAAATGTATTAGACATATGTTTAAAAATAATACTTTTTCACGCAGTTTTAACAGATTCGCCAGTATGTTTCGTCCTCTGTACAAGATGAACCCCCAGAGGATGGAGAGCATTCACAGGCAGTTCATAGACGAGTTGCGAACAGCCATACAGGTGTGCAGCGCGATACCTTAGTACATGTATGAAATATGTCAACAAATGGAAGGTCTGCTGTCTTATTTGTATTTTATACGTATGCACCATTTTATTTGCCTTTATTTTCACTTGTTTGCATGAATGTCTCTGTCTCGCTGTGTGAAGGAGGACATCAGCAGATTGATTGAAGAAGGCCAGCTGGAGGTCAAACTGGATGAGCTGGACAAACTGGAGAAGGCTGCAAAAAACAATCCAGACCCTGCATGGTCAGTAACTCTTCACCTTCAGCCACTCTGCTTTCTTTTCTGTGAAATTATCTACTGGTTACATCCATACACTTTTAATCTCTTATAGATGTGCCCCCTCTTTAAGAATGACTGAACTCTGACATCCATCAAGTCTCATTACTAAACTCATTCAAATAAATTGAATGAAACTAATGAATCTAAGCTGCTGTAACACTGCCGTTGGGATTAATAAATTGTTTTGCCTGTCCTCTGAACACTTGTCTAAACTGCATTTTATACTAGTGTATGACCTGTATCTTAGGTACATTCTTAACTTTACTGTATCACCTCAATACATTTTAATTCTTTACGGTTTCACTTTTTCTGTTAGGCGGCCGAGTGGGGTTCCTGAGCAAGACTTTTGCAGCTTTTTGATGCCATACTATAAAAAGCAGGAGGCCTACATGAGAAAGGAACTGAAGAAGATCCAAGCGGAGAATGCTGCCCTAGCACAAAAGGTTCAGTCTAGCAGAGAAAGCATTGCTCAGACAGAAAACCGCATTTCAGTGGCTGTTGATGAGTGGAAGGTGAGAGAGGACAAAAATTGTACAACACTAAGAGAGAAATTGAAAATTAATATATTTTTAATGCCCTTATGCAGGAACTGACCTGCCTTGGTGAAGGTTTGCACTCTTTATCATTTTATTCTCCTTAATTTTTTCATATTACTGTTATTTATCTTAATCTGCATTTTACTTCTTGGATAAATCAGTTTAGCATGGACTGGTGAGTGAAAACTGGGGTATTTGAGAAGAGCACCTAAAACATTTTTATAGGCAGCTAGAAATGAATTTAGCTTTTCACTGGAAAAAGAATGTTTGTTAGGTTTGGGTTTGTTTGTTTTTTTTTTACACAGAACACCCCTTTTTATAGCAATGGGCTTTTTTTGTCCACAAAATTTTATAAAAGATCTCAAATATTAAATTCCTTTTGGTTGTTCCTTAAATTACAGTATTCAATTTAAATGAGTTGTTATTCTCTATCCCATATAAGGCTGTTTGCTGACTTATGAATGCAGCTTTACTGGTTGTAGACCACCATTTGGTACATTTTGAAGGATGCTGCCTGCTGAGGACACTGTTATTAGAAGGAATTTAAAAAGATACTAGTGTTAACAGATTTGCTTGTGTATTTTTTCTCTCATTTTAGGCATCAGTCACAGAATTTGAAAGGCTGGTGTCCTCCCTCTACCCTGCTGATGTCTTTGATGTGTGATCTTCAAATTATTCGACATATCAACTAACTGAAGTGTACATATTGATTTTGTTTATTATACCTGTTTATCAGAAAATAAACTTGACATCTTGGAAATACGATTTGCTTTGTGACCTCAGTGACTCCGTAGCAATCACTACGGTAATATGCGTGTTTATGATTGGTATTACGGTACGTGGGCCATGAAGGTAATGCAACAAAGAAGTGAAGAGACCAGTAGTTGACAGAGATGGATTCGCGGTGAGAACGACCCAGACAAATAAAAGGCTTTAAGTTTGAAGAAACAGATTTACTTTCCATGTAAATACATTATTCTTGATAGATATGACGGAAATGTTTTCAACTCTATTCGGGCAAAACGAAGCTCAAGGACCGCCCGGCTCGTCGTCTTTGGGTTTCGTACCAGGGAAACCTCCGCCGCCTCTGCCGCAGAATCAAGTCTCCTTAGTGGGGCAGATGCCACCACAGCTCGGGGATGAAGGGCCTGCTCTTAGGAAGCCCGGAGCCATGAATGAACCTTTCTACTTAATGCGGGAGCTACCTGGTACTGTCGAGTTTTTATCAGTGCTGTGTGTTAATTTACAAAGAGATGAGCTGTTAATAAGTGTTAAGCACTTTGTAAACAATGCTAGCTAACAAGGTAGCTAACAAGGTAAGTGTTAATTGAAAACATTGAGAATGCAATTTACCGGTGTAGGCCCATTTGTTTTTCATTGGTACAATTAGTTTTTTGTGTGTTGGCTGTGACAATATTTCCAACTGTTTCCTAACATAACGTTAACTAACTGCTACAATCAAAGCAATGAGCAACCCTGAAACAACATTACCCCCGTTTGAAGTGGGTCACTTAGCAAAATTTTTGTCGGGATATCTTATTTGCAGGATGTATAAATCATTTACTTATTTTTTGCAATAATTATACGATCTTGTGTGTTTAGTGGGAAATGAGTTAACGGGAAACACCAACCTCATCACGCACTACAACCTTGAACACGCCTACAACAAGTTCTGTGGGAAGAAGGTGAAGGAGAAGCTCAGTAACTTTCTGCCAGAGTTGCCAGGTGGGTCATGTAGGAACAAATGAGGTCCGGTAGCCAAGTGTTAATGATGGGGGCTGCACACACGTCAGTAAAGTTAAGTTTGCAGTTCACATTCAGCGTATGGCTCTAGATTTCAAGTTATACTGGCTTTGATGCATGTTCGTTCTGTTATAGTCTGCATCATTCAGGGTGTTGGCAGCAGGCAGCCTCGCTCCAAATATTCAAAACAGCAGCAAGACTTGCAATATTTAAGAATAACTTAATTATAAGACGTGCATGTTTCCTCTTATGACTTCTTCTACCACCATATTCTTAAACTTACTAGTTAAATGATGACCTACAGTAGATGAATGGCACAAACTGGGATTCACTGGTGTCACAGCAAGTTGTTAATATTAATGCTCTGTGAAGTTATGCCCGATATCCTGCTGCTGCTGCTGCTATCCCAGAAACCACACACAGCTCTCTCCTGGTGCTGTGGTGATATACATATATGTAACATACAAATGTAAGGCTGGTCTGTGAGTCAGTCACCGAGGTTCAGATGGAAACTCCACAATACCAAATGATGTCAGTTCAGTGAACTCCTAATATGCTACTGTATTAGTTTTGACGTTTGCTCACTATCCATGTGCTTCCTGATTGATTGGTTGTTTACATGCGAGCACAGCTGGATATTTCTTCATAGCTGCACATTCAGTGTTCACCTCAGTCTGTCATTGCTCATACTGAGTTTTGACATCTGTTACTGTACTAAGTTGTCTTTTCTCCTGTGGCACTGCAGGTATGATCGACTGTCCGGGTACTCAGGATGGCAGCTCGTTGCGCTCTCTCATTGATAAACCTCCAGTGTGTGGGAATTCCTTCAGCCCACTGACTGGTGCTCTGCTCACAGGCTTCAGACTACACACAGGACCGGTACTAAATGAATACAGTGCATACCACACACATTTTTTAACATGCATACACTAATTTATAACAAACTGTCTTTAGGTAGTATATCCTGGTATTACAAAAACAGGCATCCTTCATTTCTGATTTAATGTGTTGAGGTAAATACCTACATGTGTGCATGTTTTTGCTTTATCCCAGCTCCCAGAACAGTACAGACTGATGCACATACAGCCTCCAAAGAAGAAGAGCAAACACAAGCACAAACACCATCGACCACAAGATCCATTACCGCAAGGTGTGACATAAACTATACTTATACACAAAGGAATAACATGCTTTCAGGCCACTGACCTGCTTGTTTTTGACATCACAGAAACACCATCAGACTCTGATCCCAAGAAGAAGAAGAAAAAGAGAGATGATGATCCTGACCGCAAGAAAAAGAAGAAAGACAAGAAAAAGAAGAAGGTAAGGAAATCTGTGAAGACCCCTGTAGTTCACAAAGCTGTTAGTTAGGTCTTATTATGGATCCTAATGCATGGACAAAGATGGAAGTCCATCAGAGACCTTAAGAGCCACCGTTCTTCACATTTAGACTACACAGCCTTATGTTGGTTTTACTGTCTACTTCCCCTTGCATGGGGATATGTACATGCACATTGAGAGCTGATGTACCAGAGTCAAAATCATTGTGTGTCTGACACACCTGATTTCATGTAAAAAATTTGATGAAATATTAATATTAATATAAAATACTGATTAATGAAGTTAAAACTATCCAGTCTATTGGTTGTAACACTTCTGCACGTGACTTGGATAGGAACCATAATGTTTGATCTTTCTAAGAATATTTTCAGTGGTTAAAGTTCATTGTTGATGATTCAGCCAGCAGTCCTGTAAACCTCTAGGCTCAATAATCATCTGGTGGTTGATTAGAAGCACTTGAATGAGTATCACAAACTACGTTGATTCAGAGATAGCCTAAATAATCTCCTTCATATTTTTGGTTAAAAAGCAATATATACTTTTAAAGTGTTCTGTCAGTTCTGATAGGCATTATTGTCTTAATGAGATTTGAAGCAAATATGTGATATTTGGCTCTTTGACTTAATGAGATGACGGTTATTATTACACCCGTGGGTTTGTGTCCTTTTCTTCAGCACATTTTATTACCTGCTCAAAGTCCCCCGACACAGGCACAACTACAATGCCCCGCACTCACTCTCACCATGCATTAAATCGTTCGTCAGAAATGAATATTAACCGTGTTTGATGACGCTCTGTCCTCTCCAGAGCCGCCACAGTCCCGACCACCCTGGCCTCGCTGGATCACAGCCCAACAGTAACAGCCTCAGATAGGCGGGGGCCCACTCCCACTGTGTGCATGCTTGTGTTTGAATGTGTGTGTGACTGTGTATTTTGTAAGAAGATGTGTGCAAGTGTTTTACAGATAACTGTATTATTGACAGTTTGTTTAATGAGAGAGGGGATGAATCAAATAATGCAAATGGTTGTATGGTATGTGTGTGAGTGAAAGGAGCAGCAATGTGACAGAACAGTATAAAAGACAGAAAGCCACTGATGAACTGTGATGTGATGAAAGAATAAGCAGGCAAAGTTTGTATGTCCCTCTGATTTCGTTGTGATATCTTTTGACAATGCCAAAATCAAATAAACTTTGATTATTATTATGCTTGTGTCTCCTTATAAGACCTGTTGCTTTTTGGGGGGGTGGGGCGTTTTACAAATAATCCACTGTATCAGCAGTAGTAATGCTGAGGCACTTTGTTACTGTAAGAGAACTCTTTGAATGAATGAGTACAACATGCCACCTAAATAGTCAAAACATTTTTCAAAGGAAAGGAAGAGTAGCACTTCAACTCTCAGGATAAAGACAGTAACCCATTGATGATTGAGTCAAGTATGTTTATTTTTGTAGTAGAGACTTGTCAGAGATGTTGATTAAACTTCATACATCAACATTCATACAGCAACCAACTGTAAATCCCAATAATCACAGTTCAATCACTAACTTGGATGTCATTTGATATTATCGGCTTCACCAGAGGACCGGCCGGGGATCTTTAAGGCAAATGACAGAAGTACAAAAAGGTCAGATAGTTGCTTTTGCAATTTCACATACAGTGGTTTTCAACATGTACTGTAATGAAAGAAACTGGAAAACCTTCCCAATACTGATCAAAATCCACTTAACAGTATTTACACTAAACAACAAAAAGTAGAAGCTCTAAAATGACCATTAAACAAACACCTGCGTCAGTCAACATAAAAAATATCAACAAACTGGTGTTTCTGCAGAAAGGCATCCCTGTTACTCTTGTCTCTGTATGTTCCCCTGAGGAAAAATGCTGTACTATCAACCAGCTTTATAGTCCTTAGGCATGGCTTTGGTTTCCAGAGCAAGACATTTGGCATAGGTAGTAATATTACAGTAAAAAGAAGATGCAAGCAAAGGCACAGAGCTGAACAAAACACAGCTCTGGTGTGGTGGGTAGAGCAGTCGTCTCCCACCCAGAAGGTTCAAGGTTCAAATCTCAGTGCCTGCAGCCCATGTCAAAGTGTCCTTGGGCAAGACACTGAACCCCCAAGTTGCACGTGATTGTGTCACAATGAAAATAGTCTCTTCTTCTTCTAGACACTGAAATGGACTGAGTCAGAGAATTAATAATTATACATCACAACTGACTTCATAAGTCTACAACACTGTTGCCAAGTGAAAAGCAAACATACAGAATTTATACTTTTTGTTGACACTTTGGAAGAAATGTACATTTTTCTGCTTCCTCTGCAGCTGGCTGAAACAAGGGGATCAAGGGCTGCAGCTAGCTCTGTCTTTTTTAATACAACACTGAGCATTGAAGCATAAAAATCACATGAAACAAACAAGTCAGTCTCCTCAGCAACTGGTTAACATGCTGCAGCATACTGTACACACCCATATAATAAGTATAATATGAAATAAAACCCAAGAGACCTCAGTTCTATTTACAAAAGAACAAATATTGCTGGGGGTTTGCTCTAAAATCAATATATGATAAAGCAGTAAAAAGGCAAAAGCCAAATACACAATAAATCATTGGAGCTTCATTTATACTTAGCACACTACAAAACAACATCTGATGATACCAAAACACGCTTCCCTTTGTAATGTTACTGCAACTAAAGTTTAAACACGCTTAAATACATTAAAAGACAGAAAGCCACTGATGAACTGTGATGTGATGAAAGAATAAGCAGGCAAAGTTTGTATGTCCCTCTGATTTCGTTGTGATATCTTTTGACAATGCCAAAATCAAATAAACTTTGATTATTATTATGCTTGTGTCTCCTTATAAGACCTGTTGCTTTTTGGGGGGGTGGGGCGTTTTACAAATAATCCACTGTATCAGCAGTAGTAATGCTGAGGCACTTTGTTACTGTAAGAGAACTCTTTGAATGAATGAGTACAACATGCCACCTAAATAGTCAAAACATTTTTCAAAGGAAAGGAAGAGTAGCACTTCAACTCTCAGGATAAAGACAGTAACCCATTGATGATTGAGTCAAGTATGTTTATTTTTGTAGTAGAGACTTGTCAGAGATGTTGATTAAACTTCATACATCAACATTCATACAGCAACCAACTGTAAATCCCAATAATCACAGTTCAATCACTAACTTGGATGTCATTTGATATTATCGGCTTCACCAGAGGACCGGCCGGGGATCTTTAAGGCAAATGACAGAAGTACAAAAAGGTCAGATAGTTGCTTTTGCAATTTCACATACAGTGGTTTTCAACATGTACTGTAATGAAAGAAACTGGAAAACCTTCCCAATACTGATCAAAATCCACTTAACAGTATTTACACTAAACAACAAAAAGTAGAAGCTCTAAAATGACCATAAATAAACAAACACCTGCGTCAGTCAACATAAAAAATATCAACAAACTGGTGTTTCTGCAGAAAGGCATCCCTGTTACTCTTGTCTCTGTATGTTCCCCTGAGGAAAAATGCTGTACTATCAACCAGCTTTATAGTCCTTAGGCATGGCTTTGGTTTCCAGAGCAAGACATTTGGCATAGGTAGTAATATTACAGTAAAAAGAAGATGCAAGCAAAGGCACAGAGCTGAACAAAACACAGCTCTGGTGTGGTGGGTAGAGCAGTCGTCTCCCACCCAGAAGGTTCAAGGTTCAAATCTCAGTGCCTGCAGCCCATGTCAAAGTGTCCTTGGGCAAGACACTGAACCCCCAAGTTGCACGTGATTGTGTCACAATGAAAATAGAGTCTCTTCTTCTTCTAGACACTGAAATGGACTGAGTCAGAGAATTAATAATTATACATCACAACTGACTTCATAAGTCTACAACACTGTTGCCAAGTGAAAAGCAAACATACAGAATTTATACTTTTTGTTGACACTTTGGAAGAAATGTACATTTTTCTGCTTCCTCTGCAGCTGGCTGAAACAAGGGGATCAAGGGCTGCAGCTAGCTCTGTCTTTTTTAATACAACACTGAGCATTGAAGCATAAAAATCACATGAAACAAACAAGTCAGTCTCCTCAGCAACTGGTTAACATGCTGCAGCATACTGTACACACCCATATAATAAGTATAATATGAAATAAAACCCAAGAGACCTCAGTTCTATTTACAAAAGAACAAATATTGCTGGGGGTTTGCTCTAAAATCAATATATGATAAAGCAGTAAAAAGGCAAAAGCCAAATACACAATAAATCATTGGAGCTTCATTTATACTTAGCACACTACAAAACAACATCTGATGATACCAAAACACGCTTCCCTTTGTAATGTTACTGCAACTAAAGTTTAAACACGCTTAAATACATTAAATACATCACACACACAAGTTCACTTCTATGCATAAGGCAATACAAACTGGATGTCAGATATTTGTTCTTGTGAAATCTCCATAAATAATGCTTTTCCTACATATAAAAAACCCCAGAAATGCAAGGGTTGAATCAACACTGTCTCTAATGACCATTAATGTGTAAGGTGAAAATTCCGTACAAACTGAATTTGTCATTTCGGGCATTTCACATTTAAAGAATTCATATTTCTTAATGTGATATGAAAAAACAAAAAAACAAAACTGATGGTGGACCAACACAGACATTTGCCAAGAGACAAACGGGTACATACAAGTACAAAAAGGAAAATGGGGGAGGTAGATGTGGTGTCTCTACAACCTGCACACATACATGTGTGTGTCTGTGTGTAAATAGCTGGAGCTGTAACACAAAAGCCTCTTCATATGTACGGCATGACTGGTGTTCAGATACGCTGATCCTTTAAGTTTTCCTTGATTACAAGTGTACTTTTAATAGTGTTTTACACACACACACACACACGCACATATACTGAGCGGTTTACAGTAGAAACAGCACAATATACTAAAAGTCTGTTTCATTAAGCATGCACTTGAAACAATACTTTAAAAAGCATAGCTCTTGTAATATGTTCAGGCTGTTCTTTGGTTTTAGTGAAGATTGTGACTGTTATCAGAACTTTGAAAACTATATAATAGCATTTCAAGTACTGTGATATTTTATTTTTAGTTAGTCTCATGTCTGCAGTCTAACACACAGTCCACACCAAGTACCAGACATGAGCAATGGCTTTAAATCACTAAACTAAAATAAATAAGCAGCAAAATGATGACACGTCTCCTGAAATCGCACAAAAACTGGTGCTGGTGCTAATTACAAAGGCAAATACAAAAATAAATGCTGCGCTTCCTCCAATCCTCAGCGCAGTCCTGCTGTCTAAGCCTCCACAGCAGCCAGGCCATTGCTCTGGGTTATGCAGCCATTGGCCTGAGTGTAGTTGAGCGCTTGCATCTCTTGACCTGTGCCTTGCTTTTCTTCGTCCTCTTTTTTCCTCAGCAGGTGTCTGCGGTGATAGAACAGGTAACCCGGCAACAGGAAGCCAGCCAATGAGAAGATCAGCAGGCCCAAATTGATCTGAGGGTTAGGAGGATTACAGAGAGTGAAAGATACAGTATGTAACTTAAGGTAGCACTCCAAATCAATCTGCTCTACTCTGCCCAACACTCCACCTTCCTGCTCCACTATGCTCTGCCACACTTGGCCCAGCTCTTCAGATATTTGTACTTATGATATTACATGAAATGAAAATGCAACAAAACTTAGTGATCAAGTAGAAATATGTGAAAATCTCTGATTGGTTAAGTGGTTTATCCCAGTCAAAACCTTTTAGAAGCTAATATCTCTGCACTGCTGCCAGTGCTGTTGAATGAGTCTGGGTCAGAGGAGGCTTCAACAGCACCCCTCCACATTTGGATAAGTTTAGAGCAGATTTCTACAACAAAAATATCTGAAAAAGTTACAAATATTAACTTTAAGTACTTATAATGGAACTGGATAAAAAAAATTTCAGGATGAGCAAAATTATTACAACTCATCATGAGTGGAACATATCTGTACCAATTTTTATGAAGATGTATTTGATGTGCTTGCAGACAGTTTTTCTGTGCACAAAATGTCTCATGCATTGAGACAAACACAAATCCCTACACTAAGAAGCGGTGCTGTGAACCTGTTTACGTCCGTGCATAAAATTACAGTGTGCAAGCATACAGAATGAAAGTGTGTGTCCTCACCCAGTAGGGGTCTCCTTTCAGTGGTCCAACCATGACCATGAAGAGCGGCTGCTGCAGCAAAGCAAACACAGCGCTGATCATGGACTGGAGGCCTGTCAGGGTGCCAAAGTGGTTGGACGGGTAGCTGTGGGACAGATAGTGGATGGTTACCAAAAAAATCTGACCGAGCTCCAGATTAATTGGGAAAGTAACAATACATGTAAAAGAAAAAGCTGGTTGTTTCTGCTGCTCAAATAAATGGAAAATACTAATTATTGCCAGAGAACAGAGGAATTAATCTAAGAAGCTACGATCATGGGTACTTTTCCGCTAGCAATACATTAAACATGACTTAATGGTGAATTATTTTTTGATTGGGAGATTTGTTTTTGTGCTGGAGGACGCTCATCAGCCTGCTGTGATTTTTACACCCATAACTCAAAAAGTTATGAATGAATTTTGGAGAGGCAAGGTACGGCCCACAGAACACTCCTGGTGATTTGGGACATCGTCCTGATCCACATTTTTTTTAAATGGCATTATGGGAAAAATGAGCTGCCTTGGCTGAGGTTTGCACTGAGTGCTGTCTAAATAAGTGCAAAAGAAATGCAAAACGCACACAGCAGCATAAAGGCCTCCGCAGCAGGAGTGGATGAAGCCTCGGACCACAGTGTGGAGGATGAAGGTCAAAATCTAAGGAATAAAGGGGAAAAGGAGAAAATAAGTAACACAGTCAGTGGACCTGGCACTGCTTTATCATTTCCATGTGTACTTGTTTTCTAGCTAACACATTGTCTGTGTCTGTGTCTGTGCTACCTGCAGAGGCAGGCTCTCTATGATGCAGCAGCACCCGAACGCAAAAAGCAGGAGGTTGGTGATGATGAAGGCTCTCGTGGCATTGGTCACCTTCTGGATCTTGCGGTCTCTCTTTGGCCCATTGCTCTGTCTGATGGGGTGCAGAGGGGTTTTAACATTACTGGTATGCTGGACCACTACCATTATAATAACACCACTGAACAGTGTGTGTCATACCTGGTTACAGCAAACAAAATGAACCAAGTCAGGTTCAAAATACTCAGGCTTTTCTTGCCATGCTAGTGACTCTTTTAATGAGTTTTATCAATATTATTGCTTCTGCTGCTTTTAAAACCGTCTTTGACTCACTGCATGTACCTGTGCTCTACTCCTGGATGGCTTGTCTTCTCCTCTTCACACTCCTTCATCTTCCAGTCCATAAGGTATCCAATCAGAGGGCATGTGACCAGACAAAGCAGCTGCAGCGTGCCAAAGATGGACGAGTAGAAACCAACTGAAGGAGAACACATTAGGTTAGATGAAGAAATAAAAGCCTAAAATATGTCCCAGACAAGTTACATAAAGTACATAAATTTAAAGATCTTTTTTTTTTTACACTGCTCACCTGTCTCTTCTGCTTCAATTCTCAGCTTCTCAGACGCTGGAATATAAAAAATACCCACTCTGTCAGTAAGCCCTGAGATGTTTTTGAACACAGAATAAATTAAGAAACCCACTAATAGTTTGCTGGGACTGTGAGGGTTTGACACTTACGATGCTCTTTGCCGTGGGTGACCAAAAACTCCAGCATCTTGTTCATTGCCCCCATGAAAAAGATGATCCTTAGCTGGGTCATCCCCATTGTGATCAGACTCCACAGGAAGATTGGAGAGAATACTGACCGACGGAAAGGAACAGCATCTGAGAGAGGAGCAGATTTCTAGTTTATCTGATGAAAAAGTGCAAGTGGACACAAACCAAAAAGTCTGGGAACCGCTGGTCCAAAGTAAATGGCTGGTAAGTGGCTGCGTGTTGACGTACTGGGTGCAGCATTAGGTTGATTAGGAAGTTTCTCTGTGGAGTGTTTGAAGTCTCCATTTTTCTGGTTCAGTTTCTCTCCATCGCCCTTCTGGTCTGATGAAGGCAGCTCTTGCAGTGTGAGGATCTTACTATTATACACACACACATTAAAGTTGGAGTGAAGGTTCTGATTTTTGTGTCTTAGTGACTGAGATGAGGGGAAACAACAGACTGGCAGCCTGACCTGTAATCCACCTCGTTAGGCGTTGGGAAGCCATCTGCAGGCCAGTTGAAGAAACAGTTGAAAAAAATAAACCCGGCGAGGCCTGCCCACACCCCCATGATCACCTTGAAGGACACGCCTGCATCGTAGATCAGCTGGAAAGAAATAAGAGTGAGATAAATTAGATTGTTACATTTTTATAGCAAACTACAATACACTTGTTAATTGACATTTTGGCCACTTGGGGGCCAAAGCTGTAAACACAATGCTGACATATTCTCACCTTGTAAAGTTTTTCTGATTAATTTGTTAGCAAACAGTTGCGTATTAACACACCCAGCAGAGGGCAACAATGGCTGTTCTTTAGAGTCATGTTTCTGACCCCCTGATTTGTTGGTGCTAAATGGTCCATTATGTCTGGCCAGTTTCTAAACTTGTGTGCTGTGTTGGAGAAAAGCACGAAACGTGGCTCAGTATTACAATCCTTTTGTTAGTGCGACCTTTGTAGTTTACCTTAACTCCAGGGAAGGTGACAGCAGAGGAGGCATAGGAGCCGATCATCAGAGACAAGATGGTGGAGCTCAGGGCACCAAACATATTGGGGAGCTGTAAGGACAGACGGGGGGAGAAATAAGAAACAAATGATATAAATAGACACAACTTATGTCATTTCGCACATTAATTTAACAAGCCCACCTAGACCTCAGCAATGTGAACTACATTAAGCCCAGTGTGCGATCATGAGCCATAAATGTGGCATTGCAGTATGCTATGCTGACCACCAGAGAGCAGACAGCTGCTCCAGGATGAACCTGACTGGGACATTGTGAGCTAACGCTGCTTACTGAGTCTGTAGCCACTAACATTTCTCCCTCACTGCAGAGCAGACTCATTAAAAAAATATTAGTTTCCATGTCATGGGAAACAAGAAACCCAGTTTGGGTCCTGACTCCATGATTCACACAGGCTAAGCTAGAATTCAACACACATTGGTCATGTTTATTCTTAAAGTGCTAGGTTTAAAAATGCCAATCTATAGCCAGCTGGGCTCTTTGGATCCAATGCAGGGGCATGCATGACTCATGGCAAAGGCTAACACATCAACCTATTTACAGTAGTAACTTAGCGAACATAACAACGACCTGTTGTGCTGGCAGCACACTTAGTGTCCTTTAATTTGATTTTTAAATGGTTCAATCATGATTATAAAATCACAAGTGGGACTTTAGGCATGCTGCAAGACAAGTTCAATATTCTCTCTAAACACTGACTGTGATTTTTCGAACTTCTGCTGGTGTCACCTAATCTGCCCACCTGGCCAGAGTTCACTGAGCCATGTCAGTGTCCCTCTTTTTTATCTTTTCCTTTTTTCCTTGCTGATCTCACAGAGGCTGGACTGTGAGTCAGGATTGGGAAATGGGAAACAGTAATTTATTAGGACTGGTACATTCATCTGGCTATATATAAACAATCTATTCAACTATTTAATATGTACAGTATATCAAGGCAAAGGCTACAGGTGAATCCCAATTTCCTTATTTTATCATTCCTCGATCCTTGCTCATTACCTCATTACCTCATTACCCCTAGAGTTTCTTTTGGCTTTTGTGTCCAGTAGGATGTCAAAGTGTAAGATGTGCACCTCCACAGCAGGTGCACTATAGTGGAAACAAACGCAGAACCCATGACAAGCATCACGAGCACATTTCAGCAGGTTCCTATAACAGAAAAACTCTAGTGGCTGGCAGACTGAGATTGCATTGGAAGCAGCCTGAGGTCACTTTGAGAACTGAAACAATGGGTTTGGCAAGTCAACAGGAAAAAGCTTTCCTGAGTATGTTGAGAGAGAGCCTGACTGTCTGAGGGGGATGAAAAACATCCCAGAGAACACCTGTCCTCATTCAGCGCTTTCTGAGAATCGAAATACTTCACAGCCCGTCTCTGCCCATGACATCTGCAGCACTGCACTGTGAGGGTCCTCTGAAGGCACAGGAGAGTTGTCATCTTTACTAATGTTAACGCAAAGATGTTTGAGCCATGTGAAATGTCATCTAACTGATGCTTGCTTTCAGATGTATAGTAGAAGCAACTTGAGAGATCAGTGTGGGAAGCGGAGAGTAGAAAATAAACATCAGATGTGTGTATACATTTGTGTGTGCATGTGCCAGCAGCAGGTGTGATTCCCACCACTGTGTTCTGGCAGTTCTCATGAAATACATAGTTCACAGAGGGCATTGCAGCGAGTCCCACATGCTAATGCTCCCGGGGGACATGGACAGAAACATGTGACTGTACGGTGGTGTCAGAAAGATTTAACCTTTCGCATGTCATGCCTATAATTACTTATGTGTTAACTCACTTGGATGTTGTAACACTTTGGCAGTGTTTAATTAAGACCTTAATCACTGAGAAAATGGGCCAAATGGTAGATAATAAGCACTGAACACGTGGACAAAAGGTGGATGCAGGGGGAGAAATTGGAATAAAAGGGAACAGAAGGGGACAGAAGGACAGAAATGATAACAAAGAGGTAGTGGGAGTAACTTTTTTGGTTTGACTGATCTCTCCAAACCACAGCTGCAGCCCTGCTCTCGTGGAGCTCCCAGCAGGAAACACTAAACCACAGCTGATTAGCACCGGCTTCTTCTCTCCACCTCAACTCTCCGCCTCCCTTTCTCACTGAATGGGTCCTTATCCCTCACAGTGCTGACACAGTGCTCTTGTCCAGCTGCAGTGCACTTGTATAACACAAAAAGCGGTCCAATGTAATGATCAGCTGCCTCAGACGTCAACATGTAACTCCCACTTTAGAGGTCTCTTTGTATTTGATCCTAAAAGTCATCCCCCCACTCCTGGGAGTGGTTAATATTTCTTGCAGCTCAGCCTCTCTCTGCTAGTTGAAACTAAAGCGAGCACGTGGAAGACTGGCGGCTCTCTGAATGCAACTGCTGACGGCATTTGTTTCACTAGTGTTTGATCAAATAGGTCTCCGCATGCAGTCACTTCCTGCGTCTCACTGTAAATGCAAGAGCACTGTCCTCATTCGTTCACTGCCAATGTGACACACAAGTTCCCCAGTCATACTTTACATACCCAACTTACATCTAGTTAACACTTTTACTGGTCCTGTTATCCAAAATGACTATTATTACTATACACAGTAAATGTGCACACTATACAAGTGTAAACAATGTCTTTGGAGTGAGTCAGCCTTAACTTCCTTGATCAAGGTCATA